ACCGAAAAAACCATGGAAGGGGTTGTTCGATCTATGGGCCCTCTCGATAGGACGTTCTTTTGCAGCTTGGGCCTCGTTAAACACCGACTCTATGAACGTGGGCGACTCGGCAATCTATATCGGGCTCAGTGCTTCTTGTGAGGCTTTGCCCGCATCTCGGGAAGCTTCAGTTCCTGCCTCCACCTCGGCCTCCCCGACTTGATGAAGATCGGCCTCGCCCCCTGGTTCGGAGGCCCCTTGCCTTTCGAGCCGCGGCAGCATGGTGGCCACCAGATCGAAGGCTTCTCCTTCCCCCTCGGACTCATCCCTCAATCGATAGAGTGAGTTCGGAGACAGTGCTCGACCACTAGTTCTTCCCTTAGGTTTACGCGCCAACCTTTTCCTTGGCTTTTTCTTCTCACGGCCCGGAGAAATCGGAGCCCTTTTTCTTTTCTTCTCTTTATCCTGCCTCGGAGCAGGGGGCTCGGTGAAGATATCGTCATCATCGGATGGAGGCCTCATCTCAACATCTTTTGGTAAACCTACAAAAGAGAAGTAAAGCAAGTAAGAGATCGACAACGCAAAATGGAAATCAAGTGACACTTGAGAAAACTCTCACCATGGGAACGGGCCTCCCATCGACTCTTCGAGAGCTCGCGCCACGAACGCTCAGAATAAGGCCTTTGTTTCACAAAGCCTTCGACCCATTCCTTGAGTCAAGGAACTACATTCAGCATCCGAGAAACAGTTGCACCACCACAAAATATCGATGAGAAGGGAGGAAAAGAAAAGAGCGATGAACGAAATCTTAAAAGCGAGATTATACTTACGTTTCATATTTCACTTCTTAGAAAATGGCACATGCTCGGCTGGGATCAAATCCGAGGTCTTTACTCGGACAAAGCGGCCTAACCAGCCTCGGTCCCGATCTTCATCGATGCTAGAAAATGGGGCCTTACTGGCCCGACGGACCAGCTTGATCAGTCCACCTCGATAAAGTCGGGGACTATATAAGCGCATGAGGTGGTCGATGGTGAAGGGACACTCTTCAATCTTGCTTACGAAAAAATGAAGGAGAATCACAATCCTCCAAAAAGAAGGGTAAATTTGACCAAGGGTCATCTCGTACCTTTTTACAGAAGGCGATAATGACCGGGTCCAAGGGGCCCAACGTAAAGGGATAAGTATAAACACTTAGAAAACCCTCCACGTAGGTAGTGATAGCTTCCTCGGGCTTGGGGACCACTACGTGGTTATTAGCCGAGTTGCAATCTTTCTTGATTTCGGAGAGGACGTCCTCGGTGATCGAGCAAATATATCTCGAGGCCGGTTCACACCGACCCGGTACCAAAGAGGGTTTCTCATTCTTAAAATCAGCACCGGTCGGGCACCCCGCGGGGATGAATAATTTCAGAGGAGGCTCCGGTGTCGGTTCCTCGGCAGCGGCAGACGAAACATTTTTCTCAACAACCGGTCGCGAAGTAGAGGGAGTTTCTTTTTGGGGTACAGATTTTGAAGTCTTTGCCATTTCTGTAAAAAAAAAAAAAAAAAAAGGAAGAGAAGTAAAGGAAATAAGGTTTAAGTGAAAAATAATGGATGATTGGCAAATGAAGAACTCTTATGAAAAATCTCAGAAAGCCAAAATAAAAGAGCTTAGAAGTGTTGAAATCTCTTAGATACGAAGGTAGAAGGTTTGGATGTAAAGTTTGAACGAACAAAGGAAGAGATATTTATAGTTTTTTAAGCAACGGTTCGTATCTGGGAATGACCAACCAGCGTCTGACAAACATTTAATGCCTTAAAAACTGGACAGACGGGACGTTTCAACTATTCTTGTCGCTTACGTCATGATTTATAGAAGTGATAACCGGGAGCTCATATCATTTCTCGTCATTTACTCTCCGATAAAATGAGGGGACTATCTGTATACGGGTAAAATCAAACTCGAGATTTGACCGAGCATCCAACACAACAGTTTGGGATCGAGAGATGGTGATAAAATCCCGAAAATCAGTTCCTGCCTTGCCAGATTAGTCACCGGAACCACCAGACTTGCCTTTGAGTTTACTGAGGTCATAACCGGTCCCGATTATAATGGTCTCAAGGAGCATATTTCCACCTTACCCGACAAGGGTCCAAAATTCCCGCAACTGACCGGACATTACGGCAGAAATCACCGAACATACCAAAAAGGGACCAACGGTCAACAAATCAAGGACTTTTTTTTACCTTTTATGAAGTAATAGAATAATACCTTAAAAGTAGGTTCCTCCAATATATAAAGGGGGCCTCACAACTCATGAAGGATATTGTAACATACACTCGTAAGCAATACATTAACGTTATTCTTTAAGTTCTTATTCTTTGGTATCTTGGTGTCAATAAAAGTACTTTCAGCTCAAGAGTGACCACTTTCCTAGGCTGAAATTATCTAATTTGCGTGGTTTGCAGTTAGTTTATCGTTATTTATTTCAACTGCTATCTAATTTATCGTTCAGTATCAAATTAATATGCATATCCTTTAAACCACTAACAAATTCAATTGTTATCCGATTTTGAGGGTAAATAATTTGCCTTTATTTGCAGATGAAAAAATGATTAAAGTTAGTTTACTTAGCACCAGAAGCCAAAGACATGACTTAAAAGTAAAGCCACCCCGTTTTACCCCTGCCCTTTTAAAAGAGCTCAACATGAGAGATCTTGAAAGGACTAGCAAATGCTTAAATTGAAGAAGTGATGAATTTAGCCTCTCAAAATAATGCTCTTAACTACTAACGAAGGATATATATAAACTGCTTCGCATAAATTACAAGTATATTTAGATTTATTTATTTATTAATAACTTTTAAGTTATACTTTTAATATTATATTCTATTATTACGGTTATAATACATATGTCAAATTTATCTTTTAAATTATATGCTTTGATTAAATATTACTTACATGAAATAAGTTGGATAAAACACCCATTTTACTATATATTTCTTTTTCTCACTATTAGGGGTCATTTGATAGGAGGTATTAGAAAAAATAATGCAAGCATTAGCTCTATGCATTACTAATACCTTGTTTAGTACATGTTTTCAACATGTGTATAACTAATACTTGTATTAGTTATACATCATACTTGGCATTATTCTATGCACAAGTAATGCATAGAAAACCATGGCATTAGTAATGCCAAGTCTATTAATGCATGCATTAGCATAGTTAAAGATAAAATTGTCCTTAAAGTCCCTTAAAGTTAGAGAATATGGAGGGCATTTTTGTAAATAACTACTTTTCTTAAAAAATATGCAATGCATTATAATTTTAATACACCACACCAAACAGTAGATAAGAAATAATATCTGCATAACTAATGCTTGCATTACTAAAAAAACACCCTACCAAACGACCCCTTAATCTATCAAGTATAGTAATTAGTCAAGCTCTTAACTTACTAGCTTCGAGTGGTTCTACACGTAATACATGACAATTAGCTAAATGCCAAAATGAAACAATACTATTCTACTACTTATTTGGTGCTTACAATGACTATTATCTTTATGACAAGGGCAAAGGTCCAAATATACCTTTGTACTATAGAAAATTGAGCATATTTGCCATTCGTTAATACTTTAGTTCAAATATGCCCTTACCGTCACATAGTTGGTCCATATATGCCCTTAGAGTTACACAGTTGGCCCATATATGTCCTTTTCGAAACGGAATCCATCCAAACTAATTAACTCTTTCGTTAATTGTATTAAGTATATTACAAACACTATTTCCTTTTTATTAGTACTTTTTTTTCTTTACCTTTCTCTTTTCTTTCTTCTTTTTTCTTTTCTTTTCTTTGTTTTTTTCTTTTTCTTTCTCCCTTATCCGTTTCCTCCATTACTGATGTCTTCTCCATTTTCGTCACCAATTTCACTTGACAAAACTCACGAATTCCAATTACTAAGAAAATTCTCCCATAAGGTAATCAAGTTTCAATTTCACTAGCCCTCTAAATAAATAAAATTAAATTATTCCAAAAATTATGGCTTAAACTTTAAAATAATAAAAACATCTCAAATCTTTAACAATACTCAAAAGACCAAAATATTTAAATTATTTTCAGAAAGATAATTTAATGATTAAAAGCCTAGAGTTCAAGTTGTAGTGTTATAAATTTGAGTTGTTAGTCTTTATTCAGCTGGACATTTTCTATTTTTTTTATTAACTATGTAAATTAGGGATGTACATGGAACGGGTTGGTTCGATTTTTATCAAAATCAAACCAAACCAATTATATCGGTTTGGATTGTTCGGTTTTGTTGGATTTTCGGATTTTTAATTACATAAATATTATTTCAATCTTACTTTGTTAAATTTTTTAGAAATAAATATATATTCAGTAAAAATTAAAAAATTGAAAAACATATGATCTATAAAAATATTCTTATGGGAGCATTTTCTTAGTAATTGAAATTTATGAGTTTTGTCAAGTGAAATTGGTGATGAAAATGGAGAAGACATCAGTAATGGAGGAAATCGGATAAGGGAGAAAGAAAAAGGAAAACAAAAAGAGAAGAAAATAAAAAAGAAGAAAGAAAAGAGAAAGGTAAAGAAAAAAAGTACTAATAAAAAGGAAATAGTGTTTGTAATACACTTTAATACAATTAACGAAAGAGCTAATTATATTGGGTGGATTCCGTTTCGAAAATGGCATATATGAGCCAACTGTGTAACTCTAAGGGCATATATGGACCAACTATGTGACGGTAAGAGCATATTTGAGCTAAAATATTAACGAAGGGCAAATGTGCTCAATTTCGTATAGTATAAGGGCATATTTGGACCTTTTCCGTTATAACAATTATAACAATTGGTTAGTAGTTTATCTTAACTTATTAGTACTCCTATTAATTAATTTTCTCTTTTATTGGCTCTAACAAAATTTTCATCTGAGAAGACAATTATTGAAACTTAATAGGTCGTTTCATCATTTGTTGGAAAATACAGGCATACTTTGTCTTTTAATCGGGAGGGTTTGATCAATGACAGTGTAAGACCCGAGAGCTTATGCTTTAAACCCACAAATCAATGGCCCTTTTTCTGTCACCATCTTCCTTAAACCCTTCGCTTTCTTCTCCCGACAACCAACATTGTACTACAAACTCCCTTCCCAAACCTGCGCAACTCACTACTGGTCATGCCGTCCCTTCCAATCTTCCATCTCTCTCGACCATATCGTCACCTACAACCCCAATAACTCCATTACTAAAACTGCACAAAGACAACTCTCCTCACTCTTCTTCCGACCATCTGTTTCCTTCACTTTCTTTTTCCAATATTCTCTTCTTTAAATCAGCGTATAATGTTCAGGTTATAGCTGGGGAGAACGAGCCGGAAGAGAAGCTCATCGGCCGCTTTCGTAGAGAGGTTCTCAGGGCTGGAGTTATCCAAGAGAGTAAGCGCCGAAGATTCTTCGAATCCACTCAGGAAAAGAAGAAACGCAAGTCTCGTGAAGCTGCTAAACGAAACAGCAAAAGGTTTGCCTCGAATGTTGCATTTTTATTATCGTTGTTCTTTAATTCATTGGGTGTTAATCTTTTATCTATTCAATTTTATGCTCTTCAGAAAGAATGGTATGAAATTTGTTATGTGTTGCAGTAAATAAATAGATAAATATACATATTCCACCACAAACATTTGCTCTTCAGTTTTCGATGGTTCTGTTCTGTTTGCACTTTTTGTTGAAGTTGCCTGGGTTAGTCAATTTCTTTGTAGAGGAATTCCATGTATCACAGCAAAAGTATAAAGCACTTTAATGGGTGCTAAAGGCATTTTGAGGTTAGAACAGAGAAGCATCAGATAGTGTAGCTGAGCCCCTTAAAATTTGGCCAGGTGAGGCTTTGCCCCTTGAAACTAAGTTTGTGGCAATGTTGAGCTTATGCTTTCACATGATATCGTAAGGCCCTTAATTCTAAAGGTGGGTAGTCTACCACTATTCTCCCTGACATTTTCATGATCCTTTAACAATTAGAAGGAAAAAAAACTAAACATTTGTTTCTGCCCCAAATCAGTTTATGCACATCCTTCTTTTGACTGCCCCAAAAATAGTGTTCAGGTCCTGGAAACTGAAAATTTTAAACTTCGGTTCCACTTTTGTTATTCTAAAAATAGCTTTCTCTTTAGTCCATCTTAGAAATTTAAAAACTAATCAATCAGATTTGCACCAATCGCAAACTAGCTGCGATCGGTTATATAAATCATGTGCATCCATTTTACTCTACTCAGGTCCTTCAGTGTTAAGAGAATTCACTCATCATAGTTAGACTATTCTATATCAACCATGAACCTATAGCAACCCTTCTGACATTTTTGTTATAGCCGTCAACATACCACAATCTATACGACCATCCTTCTTTATCCGTGTTTGGGACCGATTAAACTTTGCGAAACTCACCTAAGTGGGGTTCCCATCTTAAAAAATGGAAAGGAAATGGGGAAAATACATGCCTTGTTCCAAAAGTTTGAGGGGTTTGATCGCCTAACCAAGATATTATGGAGGTCTATAACAAAAGTGAAATAAATTCCTTCAAGACATAATGTATCTGGCTTGCATAAGCAGCTTTTCTTCTCTTATTGCTTGTTGCAGAGTAGGTCATTCACATTTATGAGCAGATGCCTAATGCTGACTTTAGTTCTGCGCAACTAATTTGGTGTTAGAAAGTTATATTTATCAGTTAAAACCATCTTGATTTCAGCATTTTCTGTTGTGAAATCTGCTAATATTAATTCAATGTTTATTTCCATACCTCTAAAAGATATGGGGCCAATTACCAATATCTCCTACATTTTTCTTCCATTCCTAATGAATATGTGTTGTTTCTGTCTCATAGCTTCTTTTAATCCTTTGGTGAAAACATATTGGACATGCCTTTCTCTGAAAGTTTTCACAGTTCAGTTATGGTCATGCCTAGTTTCTGCTAAGTGCAGCATGCTGAAAAACTCCTGATTCCAGCTAGCTGAGCGCCTGAGCCCAAGTATTTGCTAGTACTATCATACTGTAAGCACAATTAACTGGTGGATGCTCGCTTTTCCTTTTCGCCCTCTTTTGCTCTTTTGAAAGTTCGGGGTTGGGTGTCAGCAGCTAAAAAAGTCATAGGTCCTTTAAATATAAAATAAGATGCCTTCCTAGTGTGGATTTTGTCCAGATAGGTAAAGTGAAACCTGGAATCTTTTAGAGAAGCATCTTGGTGTTATTTTTTCCTAGGAGTCACAATTGAATTGCATTAATTCGTTAATTTAAATGTGTTGAGATGATAACTCTTTGCAATGCCTGGCCATTTTCAATCCCTAGCCATTTCCCAACAATGAGTGATTTGAATTCTTCAGTTTTTGGATGCTTATGACAAACCCATTCCTTTAAAGAAGAAGCATTTGGGTATTATCTTTTCCTAGGACTCACAATTGAATACGTTAATTCGTTAATTAGAATGCATTGAGATGCTAACTCTTTGCAATGCCTGACCTTCTTTAATCCCTAGCCATTTCTTATCAATGAGTAATTTAAATTCTTCCATTCTTTGGATGCTTATGACAAACCCAACATTTACTGATTTCTGAAACTCTTGTGGGCACTTCTAAAGGAAGGTCTTTTTATTTAATATTGAAGAAGCTACATTGCATTTTTGAACACTATTATATCAGCAAGAGTGTGTTTAGAGTATCCTTAACTGCATCTTGTGGACTGGCTGGAGAGGAACAAGGCATGCTTTGAGGGGAAGAGGTTGCAGATATACAACAACAACAACATATCTAGTGTGGTCCCACAAGCAGATACCTAGAATAAAAAACAAATGTATTAAGAATTTTGTGTTATAGTAATACTCTAGATAGATTGGATCATTATTTGGACTTTATGTACTTGTTACTTGTTAGAGGGGAATATGTAACATGTTTGGTGTAAGAGCTGTAGGGATGTCTTGTACTTGTTTCTTTACCATCTTGGCACCAGTTGATAAAACTTTTTGACTTTTCAAAAAAAAAAAAATATCGGCAAGAATGTGTTTACACTTTTTCACATAATTGTCTAAAAATAGGGATCAGAGTTCATTTGGGGGTGTGCAAAACTTCTCCTAGCATCCAAGTTAGCTTTCTTTTGTTCCTTTGGAGTTTTTTCATTACATCTCTTGTCATATTCAATGGACCATTGTTTCAAAGTGCCAGACACAAGTGGTAACCTGGAAGTAGACTGCATGGACGAAATTTTTAAACATAGGGGATTGGACGAGCATAGTCCATAGCATTATGCTTCCTCTCCTTCCTTCCCTGTCGCCTGTGCAGGGGAGAAATGAGAATTACGAAGGCAGCCCTTCGAAAACTTCCGAAATGATGATGCACACTTTAATCTGATGGTGCTAACTTGAGGAATATAATTGAATGGCATTTGCAGTTGTTCATTGACTTTGGTGCTAAGTCTATCAGGTCTTATTTGATTCTATTTTCTTCACTTTCAGCCATGTGATCACAGGTTCTAGAGTAAGTTTAGGCTGGTATATTTAGCTCTAGTCCCTGAAATAATGGATATATTTGGTGAATTTGAGGTCAGCAAAAGATAGATTACCTTTTGTCATATTAATCTTGGGAAGTAATAGATTGAGTGTAAGATAAACCGATTGGAGGGAGGTAATGAGCAAGAGATTAAATGGATCCTCTTGGGAATAGAAACTTGCATTTTAATTCATTATCAGATTTGTCAGATGTTGACAACTTGAGTTCTTTTGTTGTATTAATCTTGGGAAGTAATAGATTGAGTGTAAGATAGACCGATTGGAGGGAGGTAATGAGCAAGAGATTAAATGGATCCTCTTGGGAATAGAAACCTGCATTTTAATTCATTGTCAGATTTGTCAGATGTTGACAACTTGAGTTCTTGTGCTTGTCCTTGCAAATTTTGCCTTCAAATTGGATAGCTTAGTTTTAGTGTTGTTAACTCTTAATGTATCGTATGGACCAGATTAACAATTGCTAATGATGGCTAACCAAGCTTTTCCTCCGTATTTGCAGAAGGCATCAACCGAAAGCTCCACTATGGGATACACGGGACACTTTGAAGGATGAGGGGTATAAGTCCGATGAAGATAGCTGGGACCTCATTGATGTGGAAGTACCCTATACTTAACCTTAATGAGCACAGTGAAAAGGAAGTGGTTTGGGAACAAAGGTTTTCATATAACAAATTTGATTGAAGTGCAAAGAGCTTCTACATAGCTCTCACTGATTTTGCTATAGAACCTGGCTATATCTGCAGTTTGATATTTTGTAAATCAATAGGAATATATTGATGTTGGAAATGCACTAGTTTCACCACAATGGCTGCCCTGAGCTTTTACAAGTTTATATTGAAGATCAATGAAAGGTTGTTGCATATATGCTTTTTAGATTTTAGTGGTGATTTTGCAATATGTGGCGACCAGTGGTGATTTTGCAATAGTTATAGTGTGCAAGCAAAGCCAAGAGAATTATGTTTTGCACTACTGCTATTAATCCGAGCAGTATTACTTTTTTGGAGTTGCAAATAGATGCAACCCTAGTCCCTACCACCTCTCCCGGTCTTTAACCATCTATAAAGAGAGGCCTTGCAGTGAATTGAACTGGATAACAAGCTGGTTAATACCTTTTGGTTTATGGATACCTAGCTTCATTTTCTGCCATTCCTTTCTTGTTGCATAAAAGTGGAGCCTTGACGTATCTGGTAAAGTTGTTGCCATGTGACTTGGAGGTCACGGGTTCGAGCTGTGAAAACAGCCACTTGCAAAAATGTAGGGTAAGACTGCGTACAATAGACCCTTGTGGTCCGACCCTTCACCGTATCCCGCACATAGCGGAAGCTTAGTGCATCGAACTGCACTACCTTGTTGCATAGTAGTCTATGGGATTTTCTTTTTCCAGTTTTGTGTGAGGAATATGGTTGTCTAAGGGTATGGTAATACCGGTACTGGACCGGACCGGACCGCTCCAGTGGGTGGGTAGGGGTGAAGGTTAAGGGTAAGGGTAATGGTAGGGCACCCGAAACAATACCCTTAGTACCTGTACCGTAAGTACCCTTAAGGTACCGGACCAGTACCTAACGAATTTTTTTTAAATTTATAATCTAGCCTTTTTGTATCGTTAGCCAACAACTACTAAAAATAGTTGCTGGCAACAACCAAAAACGACTATTTTTGCCTCCCTAGCTCCCCAACATCCTCCTACCCCCTACTTTATGTTTTTAACCCCTAAATTTGTTCAAATACACTTTAACCCTATTTTAAAATTATAAATACCCCATTTCATTCTTTCAATTTTCATTCAAAAACTCTCATATCTCTCTAATTCTCTATCTCTCTCTATCTCTAGTTGCAATTAACGTCGGCATTTGGTACATTCATTCCAATTCATATTAATTTTCGCATTTATTTTTGTTATACTTGTGTTGCTATTTGTTGTAATTTTAATCATTTATTATTAAAAATGGCTCCTAAACGGGTAAAAAAAAGTGTAATAGATCTACTAAGGATAATGCTAGGGAGAGGGGGTCCTCGTTTTGAAACAAATCCTAACTAGTCCGGGTTTAGGAGTTACATACAAGAAACGTATAATCCTGCTTTTCCAGGTTTTCCTAGAACAACTATTAGAAATAATATTTGTGATAAAGACTTGCAGAAACATTTGAAGAGAAGAAACTCCAGAAATAATTCAAGAAGACTACGATGCCTGTAATGAATTACTATCTACCGGAGACAACAGGGACGCAGAAAAACAAGTGCTATCAATTTCAAAGAAGAACCAATAGAAATTATTGAAAAATTCTGTAAATTATAAAAAAATATGTAATCTTATTTTTATAAGTATTGAAATAAAAGTACTGAAATTTTTTCATCCATTAAAGCTTTTTCTTATTTAAATATAATTTTTCTAATTTTTAATTTAAAATTACCCCCAAGTACCCCGGTAGGGATACTGGTAGGGTACCCAAAAAAATACCCTTAACCCATACCCTTAAATACCCTTAAGAAAATATCACGACCCAAAATTCCCACCTTCGGGACCGTGATGACGCCTAACATTTCACTTGCTAGGCAAGCCAACGTTAGAATAATCTTAACCATTTTATTCTAACGCACACACTACGTTAGGGGTAAGGTCTGCGTACACACTACCCTCCCCAGACCCCATTAGTGGGATTTTACTGGGTTGTTGTTGTTGTTGTTGTATTTTAAAACAAATTAAATTAAATGGAAGTCAATTACTGAAATAAAGTGTGAAAGACCATAACTACCGAATCATCAAAATACATCCCTGAATCTGGTGTCACAAGTGCACGAGCTACTAGAATAATACAAATAAAGGTCTGAATAAAATTCAAGCTGTTTGAAAGATAATACACAGCTAAGATAAGATAGAAGAGGACTTCAGAATTGCAGACGCTGTGCAGTTATACCTCAAGTCTCCTCTGGGTAGCTGAATCCGAGCAAGTCTATGGTACTCCGCTGGGACCAACTCCAAAATCTGCACAAGAATATAGTATGAGTACAACCGACCCCATGTACTATGTACGTGTCGAGCCTAACCTCGACGAAGTAGTGACGAGGCTATGACAAGACACGTATGTAAACAACCTGTACAAGTATATACACATACGAAACAACAATAGCACAATAAATAACAATTTATAAATTTGGGAGGGAACATGCGTAGAGGGATGATATAGTAATTTCAGCAGGAGAAGTGTCACATAGCAACCAATTAATTCATCAATAATAAAATGAACAACTGAAAATATGAAATGGCACGGCACTACACTTCGTGCTTTCACTCCCATCCTTCCCATAACTTTATAAATAAATAATAAGATTGACACAACATCACCCTTCGTGCTTTAACTCTCTCCTGGCATGGCATCATCCTTCATGCTTTTACACTCTTTGAAAATGATACGGCATCACCCTTCGTGCTTTTACATTCTTTCTCACCATGGCAAGGATAATATAAATAATATAAATGGCATGGCATCACCCTTCTTGCTTTTACACTCTTCCTTACCATAAAAAAAATAATATAAATTCGGAAGAGTATTTAAATGCGGGGATATATACTTATCAATCAATTCAATACCAGAATACCAACTTCACCTTCCAAAATATTCAACAATAATTAAACTAGCAATAATCTCATGAAAAATGATCAAATAAACAATAATAACTTAAGCATGAATATCTTCATTAAATAGGCAATTATTCACAGTAAACAAATTCCATCCGCAAGTTTTGACTCAACCACAACGCATAAGTACTCGTCACCTCACATATACATTGTACCCGCATATTAAATCACGTAGCAAATAAACAAATAAGTCATACTCTCTCAATTCAAGGTTAACCATGATATTTACCTCGATTTGCAACCAACTCAAGATTCCAATAAACCTTTGCCTCGCGAATTGATGTCCAAATACCTCGAATCTAGTCACAAACAATTCAATATACTCAACACGAATTATAGAAATCAATTCTATATTAAAATACTAAATTTTCCAATTAAAATTTAAAATTTAACTCAAAAATCGCCTCAACCCGTGTTGGAAATGTCCAAAATGACAAAAATATCGGAACCCTCTGTTTTGTAATCTGACAAGTGCTTTCGCACCTACGGACACTTAACCGCATCTACGGTTCCGCTTTTGCGGAGATTGTGGTCACTTCTGTAGGATGGCTCGCTTCTGTGGACTCTCTTCTGCGAAGAAGCGTCCGCTTCTGCGACAAGGTTGCCCTTTCCCCTTTTCCGCTTCTGCGATGTGTGTGCCGCTTCTGCGACACCCCGTCCGCTTCTGCGGACTATCCGCTTTGGTCTAAAATCCGCAGGTGCGATTACACCAGAAGGCCAAAATTTCAGATTTTCCTTAAGTCCAAATTTTGATCCGTTAACCATTCGGAATCCACCAGAGGCCCCCGGGACCTCAACCAAATACACTAACAAGTCCTAAAATATCATACGAACTTAGTCAAAATCTCAAATCACATCAAACAACGCTAAAACCACAAATCATACCCCAATTCAAGCTTAAGGAACTTAAGAATTTTCAACTTCTACATTCGATACCGAAACCTATCAAAACAAGTTCGATTGACTTTAAATTTTGTACACAAGTCATAAATGACATAACGGACCTATAAATTGTTTTTCAGAATTGGATTCCGACCCGATATCAATAAAAGTCAATTTGTGGTCAAACTTTGGAATCTATAAGCTTTCAAACTTCTAATTTTCAACAAATGGTAATAACTCAAGTTAGGGACTTCCGAATTTGATTCCGGTCATACGCCCAAGTCCAAAATCACGATACGGACCCATCGGGACCGTCGGAACACCAATCTAGTCCGTTTTCTAAAAATGTTAACCGAAGTCAACTTAGTTGAGTTTTAAAGCATTATTTTATTTTTATCAAATTTTCGCATAAAAGCTTTTCGGAAAAATATACGGATTACGCACGCAAGTCGAGGAATGCTAAGTGGTGCTATTCGAGGTCCCAGATCACATAAATGAATATTAAATTTAAAGATGACCTTTCGGGTCATCACATTCTCCACCACTAAAACAAACGTTCATCCTCGAACGGAATTAGAAAATTACCTGAGATGGTAAAAAGTGTGGATATCTACTGCGCATGTCCAACTCGGACCCCCAGATAGATGCTTCAACCGGCTGACCTCTCCATTGCACCCGAACTGAAGGATAACTCTTAGACCTCAACTGTCGGACCTGCCGGGCTAGAATAACTACTAGCTCATCCTCATAATTCAAATCCTTGTCCAATTGGACTGAGCTGAAATCTAACTCATGGGACGGATCACCATGATATTTTCGGAGCATAGACACATAGAACACCAGATGAATTGCTGATAAACTAGATGGTAATGCAAGCCTGTAGACTACTTCACCCACCCTTTCAAGAATTTCAAAAGGTCCT